TGGAGTTTTTGTTTGTATTTCTGACCCACAGATATATATCTATGTATGAAGAAAAACGCCCACATGTGCGCAAATTAATAAGGGAAAGATAGTTTCGCGATCTGTTCTCACTTTTATAAGCTAATTCTTTACCCATCAGTTTTTAGGACACTTGATGTCTTAATAGTTTTGCTGTAGTTTAGTATTATATTATACACTAGCCAATGCCCGCTTACTTTGCGGCGCCTGATAAGAGCTTTTGCGTTGGCCAATGCAGAAGAGCGTTGAAAAACAAAATTAGTCTGTAAAGTCAAAATTTTTGATTTAAGTTGAAACCACTAAGGCGCAGTATCCTCCTCACACATAGGCCAATAATAGTAACGCTGTGATACCATATGGAATACCAATCCCTTTCGGTGTCATGAGCTTTACCGATGATCTTATTTCCACCTGTGAGATCTCTGCCAAACATGCGTAATCTTTTTGTATGATCTTGCAACTACAACATTGGTGCGATGCGTATGCCAATAACAGTTCTTATAGGGAAACTCAAGAGCACAGAAGTGCGTTTTCTGTTATAGGAGGGCCAAGAATCCTCGGTGTCCCACAGGATGAAACGTTTTCCGGAGCATTGCTAAATGAGTCGAGCGATCTCTTAAGTATCTTTTAAATTAAGCAATTANGTATGATCTTGCAACTACAACATTGGTGCGATGCGTATGCCAATAACAGTTCTTATAGGGAAACTCAAGAGCACAGAAGTGCGTTTTCTGTTATAGGAGGGCCAAGAATCCTCGGTGTCCCACAGGATGAAAAGTTTTCTGGAACATTGCTAAATGAGTCGAGCGATCTCTTGAGTATCTTTTAAATGAAGCAATTGATATACATACCTACGGTGATCTTTCCTTGTTAATTCACCACTTTTACAATTCGTGGTAAAATTTATGAACTGATTTCTGGGTAGATGCAAGACCGCATGACCGTGCATGCGGGCGTCAGAAAAACTAACCCCATCCTTCATTTAGACATCTGAAAACTAAATTCGTATAACTTAAACATAGGGCCAAAGCAGACCAACCACACGGGGTTTCTATACATTTCGGCTGCAGCGCCATCCATTGGGTTCATTTTCTGCAAAACCCAGGTACATAGCTCACATTTAAAATTTGAACGAAATCGGTTAATAAATACGATTTTTATAAATAACTCTATTCCAGCATCACCTAGCGAGTTTTCTAGTAGCATGTAATTGGACCATTAGCGCACACAAGGGGTGGGTTTTGGGGTTCAAACCCCCCCTAAAACTAATAACCTCAAATACAAACTGTATCTTAAAGCTAAGAATCCAGCTCAAGGAAATTATAAGAAATATTTATTATAATTTCTGTTGCCTGAAAAAGCGTTTTGCTATTGCTGTAAATTTATATGAGGAAATAAATATACGAGCATTTTTTTCTTGAGAGCTGCAAACTGATTTAAGAAATTTTGGTAGAAGAAAATTTCTTTTCCATTTCTCGTCCGTCGTTTTATATGAATTTTTCGTTTTTCTTGAGAGTTCAGTTAATTTTTTCGGTATTTGAAATATTAAAAAAATTTAGCAATC